TGATATTTGTGTTAAGCGAAGTCTCCCAAGTATAACAGTACTCCCCATGTACAGGATTTATAGAATTTTTGAAAGTTACAGGGTCAAATATAAGGCAGTTTTTCACATTTACCACATTGGTTAAGTTGCCTTTGAGAGCATATGGTAGCCCAGGAATGAGAATTACCCCATGATGGCATACCATTTGCAAAAGAAGACAACCCGAGGTATTGCAAATGGGGTATGTTCAGTCTTTTTTTAAATTTTTTAATTTATTTTTTTAGTAGCCAATTAGTCACAAACACTGGCCGAAGTTAGTGTTCATAATAGTTTTTTGCATTTTTAACACACAAACAAGTATAAATGCTAACATTGGCCAGGGTTTGTGACTAAGTGGCTACTAAAAAAGTCTGGACATAACACATATTGAATACCCTGGGTTGTCTACTTTTCAAAAATATATGGTTTGATGGGGGTAAATTACATTGGCCGGCTTCAAAAATGTTCCAAATAGGACATGGGTGCATGATGACCAACTGTGAAAATTCCAAGTTGGAAAACTGGAATGTGCACCCTCCAAATAAGGTATTTTTGCCCCCAGAAAATCCGACACCTATACATAGGTGGTATCACTGTACTCAGGAGGTGTTGCTGAACACATGTTAGGGTGTTCTTTGACAGTAACCCTTAATGTTATCAGTACATGTATTCTTAAATTGCCATGTGTGTCGAAAAAAATCACCAATTATTTTAAATTTGGTATAGATTGGTGATAAAATGGTTTCATGTAAAGAGTTAAAATACCCCAAGTTTAATACTTTAGGTTGTCTTCTTTTAAAATATATTCATGTAAAGGGTTTTTCAGGGATTCCTGACAGATATCAGTGTTACAATGTAACTTGCGTTAATTTTGAAAAAAATTGGTTTGAAAATAGCAAAGTGCTACTTGTACTTATTGCGCTATAACTTTCCAAAAAAAGCTAAGAACAGGACAAAATTTAGAAACTATTTAGCACTGGTGTTTTTTGGCGTTTGTAGATGCGTAACAGATTTTTTGGTATCAAAGTTAGAATAAATGTGTGGTTTTTTTTTTTTAACACATTGTTTTCATCATGTTTTATAAATGTTTTTATAGTAAATTATGTGATGACAATAATGGTATCTTTAGAAAAAACATTTAACCCGTTAACGGCATTAAGTGGGCTTTAAAGCCTTTGCGGCGGCATAGAACGCCGTAACGGCTTTGAGCCCCTGGAGGTCCGGCGTCCTTACCTCCACCGCGATCCTCTTCGGGAGGGCTGCCTGACAGCCCAGGCAGGCCCCCAAGGGCCATGTGTTTGCTCTCAAAGAGCGATCACATGCCCCCCTATAGCTGGCTGTGGATCTGCCAGCAGGGGGACTGTCTAAAATGTCACAGTCCCCCTGCTGGTGGGAAAGTAAAAAAAAAAATAATTCAACATGTTTAAAAATAAAATGTGTGTGTATATGTGTATATATATAAAATATATTATATATGTAACGTCATTCTAAGTGTTTTTTAATATGAATAAAGTACATATGTTAGTATTAAAATACACTTAGAATGACGTTACATATATAAAATATATTATATATAATAGATATATACACATATATTATATATATATATATACGTATAATTACAATAATAAATAAATAAAATAATTAAATTAATAAATTATTGAAACAAAATTTAATATATTCATATGTAATTTCAGTCTAACTGTATTTTGTTATTAACCCCTTAAGGCCGGAGGGCGTACTATTACGCCCTATTTTAAAAAATAGGGCGTAATATTTTCTCCCATTTTCTTCATATTAAATTATGTTTAATAGCTAAATATTTGATGAAAGCCCTGTTTCCCCTGAATAAAATGATATATAATAAGGGTGGGTGTATTTAATATGAAAGAGGTGAATTACGGTTGGACAGACATGTAGCGCAAATGCCAGGTTTTGTTTACATTTTGTTTCGTTCACAACGTGTACATTTGGCTCCGTCCTTAAGGGGTTAATATATATTGGTAACGGAGGGAGCGTGGCCGGAAGCCAAAGTGAACGGATGCATGGAGTGAGAGCTCCCGGTCCGTAACAGCCTAAAGCAAGAATATATAGTAGAAACATCTCCAGATAAACGGTAAATTACCTGCCTGAAAACTCCTTCTATCAATAATGGCTCTGGCGAAGCAAACAAAACTGACGGACCAAATCCGCACCTCAAAAAAAGACAAATCGGGATTGTCGCAAGATGGCGGCGAGGGGCTGCATGGCCCGCAGACCTCTGACTCACAACAAGACCATGAGGAAGCTCAATACACAGATGCTCCGGTCACAGAAAAAAAACTATACGCAATGCTACAAGAATTTAGAATTACCTTGCAATCGGATTTAAAGAAGGCAACCAGTGATTTCAAGAAGGCGGCACTGTCATGCCAAACTTAGCTTTTTTCAATCTCTTCTGCTTCTCTCCCTTTCTCAGGATTTGTTCTTAATTTCTTCCTGTATGATCAAGTTTTCTTTAAAACATAAGACAAAGTAGGGACTATTTTGTTTTATGTATTTTTCCTATGCTTGACCAGCTATGACCCAGGGGAGGAGCAAAGTCCATTTCCTGTGGTCAAAGCAATTTTCCCACAATTCTCATACTCATGCTCTCAGCCACAGAATGGTGATCGCCTCAGCTTCCTGCTTCTAGGGCTCTGCAGAAGCTGGAAGTACATCACTGGACCACCAGTGAGAATTCAAGCCAGCCAGGGACTCTGGTAAGATGGCATACCATTGCCCCATTACCGGGGAACTGGGTCAGGGTACCATTGGTATCATCAATACATCGAGCTGTAGTGGTTTCTACCATTTAGATCAGAGCTGACTGGGGACCCAGGCAGCATTTCAAACTATTGCTAAACGGTGTGCCCCATTGGCAGAAAACCAGACCAGGGTACTGCTCACATCATAATCACTACAGGGACATGCCTTTCAGTCATCCTGATTTTGATGGGCAGTACCAATTTTGTTCCCTGGTTTCCCGCTTTTGAGGACCATGTGGAACTGTGCCCAAAAAGTGTAGCTGGAGTACATCATTTCATGTGCTTGCACTGCACTAAGAGCACTAGGACTTTGCGGAGAGCACTGAAAAACTGCGAGTTTTTCTTCTGTGGGCTGGTCTGCTTGATTGACAGGCAACATGGCATGCGTTCACATCAGAGTGACCAACTAGTAATATGGATGGACTTTTCTCAGAGCCAGGGATGCAATGGTATCATTGGCCCTCCCTCTTTACCCATCTCAGGATATCAATACTGGGGGATATGCAACGTGCGGTAGTGTGTATCATAAATGCAGTAACTCTTTAATGTCTTAAAATATTTAAAGGAATGCTGCAAACACAAAAAACTATTAAAGGAACACGATAGTGTTAGGAATACAAACATATATTCCTAACGCTATAGAGCCCTAGTCACCGTTTAGTGATCCTTTAAGTTTGTTGAAGAGCCTTATGTGTGTAGTTTTTCCTCCTTTTTTTCATTTTCTAAAAAGTGTTTTTTTTTAACAATTCTTTATTTGTTGAATTTGTATAAATACCAGTATTTGGGGAAGGGGATACAGAAAAGAAGAGAGGCAGGGATGGGGTATAATAATGCCATCTATTCACAGTTGTACCATCGCAGGGTACGCTTTTATACATTTTAGCACAGTTGTATATGTTAGCAGTTTAACAATGGGTTGTAATTCAGGTTCGAGGTATTATTCCCTTGTCACTAATTTTTCTGTGGCTGTGTAGGTCTACATTTCATCCTTGTGAGGATGCTTTGGGGTGGCGAGAGGGGGGTCTGTTCGAGTCATGTGTCCGAGTGGGGTTGTAGTGTATTAACCCGTCAAAGTTGCTATTGGTCTTCTATCAAATGCTTCGTCCTAAGTGGAGTGACTCGTTCAAAGGTGTATCTTCGGGTTGAGCCTGTGGTTACAGTGGGTTTGGTAGTTTGCTCTGTGGGTGTCGTGGATGGGTCCCTTAGGCGGCCCAGTTAATGTTCCTGTTGTCTTACCCGTCTGTCTCCTGTTGCAGGGGGTGCCTAAGGTGGTGCCTCCTGTGGTCTTTCTAATGATCCCCGGCTCTAGTCCCCCTGTTCCGGTCTCGCCAGTTCAGGTAGTGGTTTCGTGTTTGCCTGTGTGTCTCCCTGGTTCGTGGGTGTGCTTTGCTCCCTTTTGTTTCATGGATGGCTTGGGACTGGGTAGGGTGTCTGGTGTTGGTTTAGGTGGTCTGGGTATGGGGGGTTGAGGTTAGGGTTACAGCCTGTGTACCACCCGGGTAGCGGCTCCCTCACGGTCGGGCCGGGAGGCGACCGAGGGTGCCCTGAGGTTGATGTTAGAGTTATTGTGTGTCTTTTAAGAATCATGTGTTGGTGTCATGTGTTGATGTCTTGTATGTTTGTCTTGATGTTGGCTGGTTCCGTCTCGATGTGGGTAGGTTACCGTGGAATGGTTGTGTCTCCCTCTAGCCATGGGTCCCATACTTTGTGGAATTGATATACATTATCTTTAGCTGCACGTTTATCTATGTAACTTTCTAGTCTTATGCATGGGGTCCGTGATGTATATTGTATCTATTTACTTATTTGTCTATGGGCGGTTCGAGTCGCATAAATGGGGTCAGTGGTGGACCTTATCTCTAGTTGCGCATTTGCTTATGTACACTCTAATGCAAATGCACGAGGTCAGGGAGATGCGCCCCTTTCGGTACAACATTAATTCTAATACCTTACATCAAACATGTTATTTATAACCATTGTGTATTCAGGATATATATATATATATATATATATATATTATCTGTTCCTTGGTGTCAGTCTATTCGGGGAGTTCGCAGCCATCTGGCTTGTTAGTCCATGCGCTTGGCTTTATCGGATGTGTGCTTCTCAGGTTGTCCTGGCAGCTAGCTTGGTATAGGTGAGAGTCGTGATGGGAGTAGCAGTCTCTCGTATGATTCTGCGTTTAGCTGAACGTGTTCAGTGTTCAGCTGGAGGACGAGGTCCGCTGGGATCCAAGGCCCTGGTCGCGTGCGGTGATGTGCCTCTGGTCGATGGTCTCCCGTTAGGTCTCCTGTCGTTCAGTTCTGCGGTTAAAACCATTGTGGGTAGGTCCAGACGTTCCGCGAAGTCGGCGGCTTCTGTGATGTTGTGCAGGGTAAGTATGCGATTGTTCTGTCTGACTTGCAACTTGAAGGGATGTCCCCAGGTATATCTGATGTGTCTTCTGGTGAGTTCCTGGGTGAGGGGTCTTAATTCCCTTCTTTTGCGTAGGGTGCTTGGGGCCAGGTCTTGATAGAAAAAGACTTGGTGTCCCTCTATTTGAAGCAGGGTGTCTCTGGCCGCTCGCATAAGTGCTTCCTTGATATGGAAGTAATGCATTCTGATTATGATATCCCTGGGCTGGGCAGCATTAGGGGTGGGGGCTCTAAGGGCCCTGTCTCGGGAACGGCGGGAGCGGTTATTGAGGTCTTCTTGGGCCTCTTCTAGCTGGCGTACTTGCTCTTGTAGGGCCGCTATTGCAGTCTCATTTTCCCGTGACCGCATGGAAGTTTGGTCCAGGTGCTCTTCTATGGCGGTTATTCTGCGCGTGAGGTCGCTGAGGCCTTCTGTAATAGGTGTTAGATGCCTTGTGAATTTGGCTGTCATGTTCAGCTTAATTTCTTGAAGTAGTTGTCTTCCTTTGTGAGGGGCATTGAGGAGGCTTATCGCTTGCCGCCAAGTCAGTCATAATAGCGGCCATCTTCCCCGCATGTGGGGCCCCCGTCCCTGCGTGTCCGGAATATCGGTGCTACCTCCGTTCCTTGTTTAGATTTCCATCCTCCTCCCATGTCAGGTCGGTTGAGCGCCGTGGTGAGGGTATTGTGGACCGAGTGGGGATATTTTTGTCGGGTATACTTGCTGATAATAGCTTGTTGTTTGCCTGCTGGTAAGGAGCTCTAAAAGAAAGCAGCCATCCGCACTGGAAGTCAGGCGCCACCGCCTTTTCTTTTTTATAATTCTTTTTTTGTCATGCATTGTTTGGCAGTCTAGGCCAGTAAAAAGATTGTAACAAACAAGAACAATAGTAGAATTAGCAGTCAGATTACATACATACATTTTTGACATTATATCGCCTGGAATCAGCATATTATGCACTTTTTATATATAAGAACAAAATGGAGATGGAACCAGGGCTAGTGGTAGGTTAATACAACTCTAGAGAGGTGGGACTATCGCATGTGTCTCCTGGTATGGGACGGTAAATATGTTCTCCTGAAGGGTGGCTTGAAATAGGGGGAGGGCAATGTATTTATGCTGGTGTTTATACATGCTATTAAGGACTGGTGTTCGAGATGCACATTAGAATTTGGTAGGTAGAGTAAACATGTGCGATAAGAAAGGTCCAGCTAGGAATATAGTTGAGCCTTTAAGTCAAATGTGTTGTGCGGCGGGAAGGAGAGGGGAAAAGACACCGTACTTTTCGATAGAAAAGGAGTAGGAAGTAATTAAACCTGCCTCCTAACAAAATACTCTGGCTCAGTCTGTTTAACCACTTGGGGCTCTTAGTACTCTAACATGATGAACGAACGCATTTCAACATTTGCAGTGATGCTAAAGCAAAAAATAAAAACACTGTTAACATGTGAGATTATTAGAGAATCTACTGAGCGTGGCCTTCCGCTCTGTTTCTTGCTGGCATGTGGACACGTTTTGTCAATGTCTGTGTTAGGGTTAGTCATAGTCAGACATGTAGGTCCTGGGATCTTCCCGCTCACGGGACAAAGGGGTAACATTGGCAGGGTCCCAAGCTTCCCCAAGAGTCCCCTTGGTCTGTGTAATGGGTACATAGGGTAGTTCCAAGGCTGCCAGGAAATCGGATGCTGCTTCCAGCAACATAAGGTTATGGGTAGTCCCATTGTGGGTCACCATGTGGGAGCCCCTTGGTTCCCATCTATAAGTTAATCCAGCATGTCGCAATTGAGCTTGGACCGGACTAAGGGACTTCCGCCAGGCCATAGTGGTTCTTATAAGATCTTGGAAAAAAGATAGTTGCGAGTCCTCGAAGGCCAGAGGTGTCTTACCCTTTAAGGCAAGCATGATTTGGATCTTGTTGTGGAGCTTCGCGCAGCGTAGTATTACATCTCTGGCCATTGTGGGGGGCTCTCGTGGAGCCAGTGACACAATATATATCCTATCGATCTTCTTGGCAAGAGCTTGTGGCAGAATTGTAGAGAGTAAGCGCCTGGTGTAGTGCGGCTATTCGCCAGCCGTAACCGCAGCTGGTATACCTCGGATTTTGATATGAGTACGGCGCTGCCTGTCTTCCAGAGATGTCATGTGCGCTGTTAAAGCCTTATGCTCGGTGCAAAGTTGTTGGACTGAGTCCCTTAGGGATGACAGGTGAGATTGTATGTCTGTTATTTGTTCCTCAGCCGTTTGCATTCTGTCTGTGACCGGCTTGATGTCAGCTTTGATGAGTTTTACGTCGGCCGCTAGCAATTGGCATATATCTGCCAGAAGATTTTTCAAATCCCGCTTGGTCGTGGGGGCCGAATCATTGGAGGATTCAGTAGGCAACGGCTGGTTAGTCACGGGGTCAGTACTGGTTGTTGAGCCCTGCTGCTCTAATTCTGGTGCTGGGGTGGGTCCAGGTTGGTCTGCTGCCAGTACGGGCCCGGTATGCGTAGGTCGCTGGAGCATCTCTCCGATGTCCCTACCGTCATGGGCAGTGTCCGGCTTGTACGAGCGGTTTCGTTTTGCTTGCATAGTGCTAGCTGGAGTAGGTGCTGTCCCTGCCGGGATGCCTCGTGACTGCTCTGTAGTGGGCACAGTGAGGAGCGTCTTCAAGTCCAGGATGGATGGTGCGTAGTAGGCCACAGTTTTGCGCCTCTGCTTAGGATGTTTCGGTGTCTGAAAAAATGGCATCGATCCATGCGGCTTGCTTCCACAATGCTGAGAAGCTGATCAGTTTTATTTGATGGATGTATTAAGCGAAGATATTTAGATTCTCTCATGAGTAGCGGAGCAAAACGAGATGACGTCCGTTCAGAATCGCTGGCAAGCTCCGCCCTCTACTTCCTGGTAGTTTAACTCAGTGGGGCTAAACACGAGAGGCAGGCAATTCTATTACAAGACACGGAGGCAAAAATTCTGCTGATCTTTCTTATATTTCCTCAGCAGCAAAGCAAAAAAAGTTATAAAACTAAGGGGAAAAACAAACCCACAAAGGGGAAGGGTATAAGCATAGTTACAAATAACATCATCTGGGCATTCAAATGGCAGATTAAATTTAATGTTGAAAAATGCAAAGTTAAGCACTTTGTCGTAAAGAATGCACAAACAACTTATACCCTTAATGGAAGCGAATTATGGATAACACACGAAAAGGACTTGGGAATTGTTATAGGCATCAAACAGTAGCTAAGGCCAGTAAGGTATTGTCATGGATGAAAAAGAGCATTCATTCTCGGGATGAGAATATAATTTTGCCTCTTTATAAATCACTGGTATGACCACATCTTGAATATGCTGTACAACTTTGGGCACCTGTTATAAAGAAGGATATTATGGTACTAGAAAAAGTGCATAGGCGGGCTACAAAATTAATAAAAGGAATGGAACATTTCGGCTATGAAGAAAGGTTAACGAATTTAAACCTCTTTAGTTTAGAAAAACGTTGCCTGAGAGGGGATATGATAACATTACACAAATATATCCGGAGGCCAATACAAACTATTGTGTGGAAATCTATTCACAAACCAGATTTTACATAGGACATGAGGTCATGCATTTAGACTGGAAGAAAGAAGATTTCATATAAGGCAAAGAACAGGTTTATTTACTGTAAGAACAAAAAGGATGTGGAATTCTCTGCCTGAAGAAGTACTTTTATCAGAGTCTGTACAGACAGCAACTAGATGTATACTTGTGGTGGTTGTACCATGGAAAAGAGCCCCTCACTGTATGAAATCGGTGAGAACTAAGGCTCCCCCAAAGACATGTGATGTATAAGATGACTCTGATGATGAAGCAAAAACAGAATATTCAAGGATATAATTTTTTAATGTAGGGTAATAGCTTCTTGATCCAAGGATTAATATGACTGCCATTCTGGGGTCAAGGGAATGTTTTTTGTTTTGTTTTTACAAAGTTTGTTGCAAATATGGGGAAGTGCTTCACACTGTTTTTTTTGTTTGTTTTGCTTTCTTTTGGATCAACAGCAAAAAACAAATGTGAGGAAGGCTGAGCTTGATGGACGCAAGTCTCTTTTCAGCTATGTAACCATGTAACTATGTAATCATACAGCCCATGTCCACCACGAGATCCTAAGCGCTCCTCTGTTTTTTGGTTTTTTTTGGGGGGGGGAGGGAGGTTTGCCGCTTCTCCCTCAAATAAGCATTTGTCTCTTACCACATTGTCATATAATATTTTGATTGTGACTGGATTATTATACTTTTTGTTGTATTGGTTGTACTTTATATTCATAAATGTCTGTATTGCTTGTGTTTTCTTCACTACCCCTAGTTGTATTTGCATGTTTTATCTTTGCAGGCACTGCTTTCCCAGACTAGGAACCCTATGCTTTCTGGGAAGGATGACGTTTCTCAGGAGGAAATTCATTCATTGGAATTTCACTACCTTCTGGATGCTACTATGACAAATTCTGTTACCAAAGCAATTTGTGCCGCTATGGAAGTGATGTCTCACAGTCTCCCCTCCTCCATTAGTCCCTCTATATTGCATGCACTACTACTGACTGGGATTTTCCAGGCTGACCCTGCGGAGAATAAACCAGCAGTGCCATCACTTGATTGGCAGGCAGCCTGGCATCAAGGCCCCACATACCTTTAACCCTTTAAGGACACCTGACATGTGACATGTCATGATTCCCTTTTATTCCAGAAGTTTGTCCTTAAGGGGTTAAAACATCATACAAATCCTGTTACTTATGTGGTGGTTGTACCATGGAAAAGAGCCCCTCACTGTATGAAATCGGTGAGAACTAAGGCTCCCCCAAAGACATGCGATGTATAAGATGACTCTGATGATGAAGCCTCCTATTTCCAGATTTTCTCCTGATCACTTAGTCACAAAGTCATCAATTGATGTCCCCAAACCATGGATTGGCATCCCCATGATTGTGTGGCTAAGTACCTGGCATTGAGAGTTCGTAAGCCTTTTGACAAGGCAACAAGAAGTAAACTTGGGGCAGAATGCCATTGTCCAAGAGTATGCCCCAGGCTTGTATTCAAACATATCCCAAGTGGGGGTGTAAAGCCAAGAAGAGTTTGGACTTTGCACTCCACAACTGCTACAACAAGGTCCTTGATACCTTTGGTCCGAATACCAAGCATGGTAGAGACTGCCTTGGCGGAAGGAATTTTTTAATCCAATTAGGCAATGTAAATGGTGCACTGGCAACAGAAAGCTGTCAGAATAGATCCGAAATTAGTAAACCTTGCTACTATTGAGCCTGGGCACAATAAAAAAAAGTCTGCTCCTCAGAGACTGCTATGTTTAAGGATCACTATAGGGTTAAAACCACCATATAAACCCCCTGGGGGCCCCTCATGCCTCCATAAATATAGAAACATCTTACTGTATTCAAGCCAGAAGCTATGTATCTGCATGCTGTTTGCCTAAAAAAAACAAAAAACAAGCAGTCT